TGTGTCGATTGTAAATTACGCTGCATCTATTTCTCACATTGAGGTTAGAATTAGGTTTATAGGTTAGTTGCACTACGCCAAAATAAAAGTAAAAAGATTACAGGTTGAAACAGGTAGTGAAGTGGGTAGTGGGGCTATGAAACACATAGTGCGCAGTAAAAGCTCGAGGGCTGAAAGCTCGTGAGAGGAGGAAAAGCTCGGTCGGAGATAAGTTTACGCGTTGCGACGGATGCACGTCGTTGTTTGTTCGATATATACGAGCGCGCCGAGCGGACCTATTTGCTTTTTTTCTTCTTCGCTGTTCGTTTGCTCTTCTTTGGAACGCCAACGACAGCCATTTTCTACTGCTGTCGAGAATATTCATCCCGCCAAACATTTGTGTATGTTTCGTTTAGTGTTTCCGAGTTTTTATCTCCGCTTTTTTTCTTGTACTTGTCATCGAATTTTCCGCGCTGACAAGCGTCGAATATTCGAAATAAAACGCAAATATTTGATTATCATTTAAACGGCCAGTGGGTTGCATGTTGTATATTGATTGATTGACCTACATTTAATTTGTGTTAAATTCGACCCATTGTTCCACTAAAACTCTTCAAAGTTATTGGGTTTTTCATGCAGTGCATAAAACAATACCTGCAAATAGAATGGTTTATATTTAGAATATGCTATTAATGAGTTCCGTGTAATTTCCGTCTGGAAAATCGCAAATTTGTGCATTAGCAGCCATTAATGCTTGTTTTGCACACATTTGAAGGATATGATAGAGTGTGTTATTGTGTCGTGATGGCGGATCTTTTTTCCGGGAATAATGGACGCACTCAACGCAAGCAGGACCACCAAACTGGTCAGGAAAAGCAAAAATGGACTAAAATCAATACGAGCATAAACCTCCTGTATTTTTAATCATATTTTAAGCAAAATGAATAGTTTATAAGCGTAATGTTCATTTATATTTAACTTTTTACTTTAAAACTTCAAAAATTTTTTGCATTTTATGGTTGATATTGTGTCTATTGTAGCCATGAATACTTGTTTACATATTCTCTATAAGAAGTTCTACAAGAAAAAGAGATGTAAGCTTGTGAAAGCTTCCCGAGTTTTGAAAAGCTTGGTATCGTTTGCATACGCCTGCCAACTTTTCACTGTTTTCGCTCTTCTTACGTTCTTCACTTCTCGCTACTCTCTTCAATTTTGTTCAGTCAGTGCACTCGCTTTGGTCCGCACTTATTGCTTTGGTTCTTTGTGTACTTGGTATTGCGTTGTTTGGCGTTCGGTCGGACTTTTGCTTTTGCTTGTAGCTATTGCTTACATTGGAATCTACAACGTGGAAATAATCATCAGAAAAACATGTTGCTGGACTAACGGGCTGTATCTAATGAATAAATTGTTTTAGTTCTGCGTTCTAGGAAAAGTCTTCTATCTAAATATTACCTTAATGGACTGCATTTAATCAGAATCTTGGAAATGTACCGGAATTGCTCTGAATGCACTTTCTTGCACTTGAGAGTGGAAAATTCTTAGAATTTTGCAACAACTTGCATTGCCTTGCATTTATTTTTAAAAGATGTCATTATATTTATAAACGTCTTCGATAAGTAAGATTATACTCTAATAATAGTAATTCACTAGAATTTGAAGCATAACATGTGCAATTTATAAAAATTTGCTAAAATTACACGGAAAGCACTTAATATCTTCAAAATAAATATTCCTTAACAGTTCCTTAACTATTTATTTTTATTTTGTAACTAGCTTTTGCCCGCGACTTCGTCCCGGTAGTGTTTTATTAAAATGCAATTCTTTTTACTCTCTTGTTCTAAACAGAGTATGTGTCAATTCTATTAATAAGATTCGCAATTTTATTTTAAAGAAATTAATTATATAAAGAATTGCTAATAATGCACTTCCACGCGCCATCTCTGATTCAACTATTTAACTATAACTATGATTGAATCTCAATACCAACTTTTATCCTATAAAAATGGGCTGTCTTTAGGGTTTTCTCGACAATTATTCAAATTTTTCTCGCCAAAAATCCATCCTTGGACTTTAACAAACATTAAAAAAAGAATTGGCCTAATTAGCCCAGGGGTTGTTGAGTTATGCGCTTACCAACACATTTTGCGATTCATTTTTATATTATAGAAAAAAACTTAATAATTACTCAATATTTTACCAAAACATGTCATCAAAAAATATATTCCTCTCTAAATTAAGTAAATATATTCAAATTAAATTTTTTATACCAAAGCAACGTTTAATGTTAATTTAAAAATTGCTTTCATGAATACATGCATTTCCCTAATTAAATCTATGCAAAAATGATGTAAATCTGTCAAAAACACGTGTAGAAATTAATACGAAAAATGCACGTGTTCACGCAGCCGAGCATTATTCTCGAAAGACATGCATTTTACTAAATTCACCTGTGAATTTAATGAAAATAATGAAAGTATAATGGGTTATGAGCGGGGCGCGCGCGCCAGCAACTCATCGTTCCTCGACCGGCAATTAGCGTGCGCGGGCGTGAATTCATTAACCTTACGTGCAAAATAGTGCCTCCGTGAATTTACATAATTACAAGCGCCAACAGTTTTATATAGATATTTTATGCACGAATTTCAATTGCGCTGGGCCCGGCCGGCTGCCAAATTATTCTCTGGTCATATCAACACCCATACAAACTTTTAACAAATATTTGTTTTTAATTAAACAACGATTCCAACTATTTTAACATTTCCACCATTATTAATAATTTTGTTGTGTATTTGTATATTTGCTGACAACACAATAACTTACTAATTAGACCAGGATTAATATAGATATCAATTCGGGTTGTATTGATAAAATGCGTGTTTTCTTTTGTGTAGCGATTTGTTTGGTTACAATTTGTGTTTTGGTCGGCGGTGGATTGTTTTTCTGAATGTCGTGTCGTGTCGTGTACTGGAAGTCGATTGTTAATGTCACGATTTTCACGTCCGCACGCGAAAATCAAGGTCAATAGACACGCTTGACCCAAAGGCAATTAGTCTAACTTACAATAACTTAACGCGAACTTAACCTCAACTCTACTGCGTGTTATGCAACCAAAACATCTACTCCAACCAAAATACCAATACTCTAGTGTAGTTGAAAGGTTATGTGTGTTGGAAACAGTTGGTGTTTCAATGCAAACGCGCGGAATGTAATTTATTCGTGGAAAACAATGTGGCATTTTCCGTATTTTCGTCTAGTGTGTCGCGTGCGCGCTCGACGCTATTTTTAATCGCACCGAAAAGCTCGCGCAAGCTGGCTCGATGAAAATGTTGGAAATAGTCGTGCGGCGTTTACCGTCCCATTGCTATTTCATACTCCACCTGAAAGCGCGCTGTAATGAAGATATATCCGTGCGCATTTATGCCCTGCAAAATTGTTTCTTTGATTTTACTATGTAAACTATGAAATTGTAAAATTGTAAAAACACACTTTTCAGTTATTTCATAGCGTTTGTTGTTTGTTTTATGATCCAATACTTTTATTGCATGTTCTCAAACAACACGAAAAAATTTAATGCTAGACCGTGTAAATATCACGTTTCAATAACAAAGCTCGCTGGTGACAATATTAAGTATATGCAAATAAGTTCATGCGCGTAATTTTATATCACTTTACAGTTTTTCAGCGCCATTGAGCGCGGCTTATTGAAACTTTTCTACAATATGCCGCCCCGAAACAAATTGTAATATAACACAAGAACACAAACCTCGCAGACATCGCAGGGCTGTCTGCGAAGATTTAATGTCACCCGACGACACAGCTTCGAATACGAATATAATTTGGATGATGATAAATGTGAAAGTTGACATGAATAAAAAAGCGCATACAATGCACACTTCAACGAAATTGTCTGGAATAACCTAAACGCCTAAAACACTAAAAGAATGAAGCTTATGGAATTCGCAAAATGCACGAGTGGAGGCTTTACGTCGCTTCGGGGGCTTTTGATTAAAGCGTTGACACACGCACAAGATGAATGATATTAAAACATCAAAAACATTCGACTCATCTGTGTTTTGTGTCCTTTCAGTTAATGTACGAGTACTCGAGCGGTGAATGAGGTCTTAATGTTGAAGTTGAAGTAAAACGTGTCAATGCACACGTGAAAACTAAGTGAGACACTTGAATTGGAATAGAATACTCAGACAAAGATTTTTTTCTAGTGCTTTATAAGTTATGGAATGAAATTCATAAATTTTATTCAGAGATGAAGAATGAAGAAATGTAGTCCACATAGTTTTATTTCAATTCGCTCTGAAATCGTTTTATTATGAGATTTTGAATCTGAAGACATTTATCCGTCAAGATAAGTGAAAACTTTTAGTTTAATGCTCTTTAAAGATCTTCCCTTGTCAGACGAAAAAATATTAAAGTGAAATACTTGGAAATTAAGTACATCGTTAAATTTTACTCTAATTGGAATTAAACGCAATTAAAAGTTTTCTGGATTAAGACTCACATAGTCTATCAACGTTAATATCTACGATTTATTACAAAACGTCAAAAAATAAAATAAAAATAAAAAAGTACGCGCGTTTGCAACATTTTATTACGTCTTTTCATAATGATCAAGATTTCGCAAAGTTTTCGCATAAAGGAACGAAATAGTCATTAGAAGTTTCGTCTCGTAAAACTTGTAGTGCTTGTTTTAAAAATGATATAGGCAACTCGAGGCATATTTCCGTTTCTCTTGAGGGAGCAAAACTCTTACGGTAATAGCTCGGCTTTCAAAATAAGAGGAATCATCAGCAAACGTCAAAAATAACATTAAAACATTTTTTCTACTTCCATCTATAAAGCGCCAGTGTTTCCACGGTTTTTAGACACAAAAAGTGGTACTTTATATGCGGACGGCCAAGTCGTACATAATATTAATTATGTACCTGCATTATACACGAGACGGAGCAGTTTAGCCACTTGTTTCTTAATGTATTATTGTTCTATAAAATAAAAACATAACTCACCATTCATATTTAATTCCGTCGCTGCTTTACTATTATCCCTGGAATTTAACGCAGTATTATATCCTGTTGTAGTGGAAGTAGTCCCATAGGATACAGCTGACCCAGAACTAGTGCTTCTCTTTCCGTTGATGTGCCCGACAGTGGTCAGTTCACCGTCGGATGGATGCAAATAATGATCTCCGTATCTTTGATACTGCGATGCTCTATGCTGATGTATCGAATTCAAAATGATATTGCTCGATGTCCTCGATAAAGCCTTCCTCTGCCTGATTGCTTCCTTATAGATGCGACAGTACATCGTGACCATTACAATCCCAGGAATCCAGAAACTGATGCTTGATGAAATAATCGCGTAGTAATTATTGACGACAAAGATGCACACATTGGGATTCTCCAGTTTGAATGCCTTGTGTTCTTCGGTTGTATACCACCCGAGGAATATCGGCGTGAAACTGATAATCGCCGGTAGGATCCAGACGTTCGCAAGCATGAATCCGACAGTTTTGTGCGTCATTGTAATCGGGTATTCCAGCGGTCTCACAATGGCGTAGTATCGATCCACTGAGATGCAGCACAGATGCAGAATCGACGCTGTCGAGAAGTAGACATCCAAAGAGTTCCACACATCGCACATGAACGAACCGAACATCCATTTTCCGGTTAGCTCTACGCTTGCGTTGAAGGTCATAGCGCACAGCGCTACTAACATGTCTGCCATCGCTAGTGAGACGACGTAGTAGTTGGTGATGACGCGTAGCTTACGATGGCGATGCACGCTGATGATGACCAAAGCGTTGCCCAGTACAGCGGCGAGGATTATCGTCGAGAAGATGAAACCTTTCACAATCAGAAAGACTAGTTCCGGCCAGTCGGGGTGTGCGTTCTCAACGGTGGTTACGTTGGTGCTCTGCAGGGTTGTGATGTTGTGAAGCGTCGAAATTGGCGGCTGGCTAGTGGTTGTCGCTGTCAATGTTGCCGAAAACGATGCCATCGCCGCGTTCACTATCATTTTTCTTGAAACGACACGCGCGGTAAAGTTGCGATCGAAGTATATGCGATGAGATGATCAAAGCGCGGTCGTCCAATCAGTTTGGAATGGCATTTTTCTGAAATGGAAAGATATAAATGCATCAAAATGATATCAATCAAAGTTTTATTTTAAACTAGGCAGTGTTTAATAAAAATGAAATTCGTTTATACTCTCTTGTTCTAGACATAGTATGTGTCAATTCTATCAATAAGATTCGCAATTTTATTTTAAAGAAACTAATTATGTAAAAATTGCTAATAATGCACTTCAGCGCGCCATCTCGGATTCAACTATTTAACTATAACTATGATGGAATCTCAATGCCAACTTTTATCCTCTAGAAAAGGGCTGCCTTTAGGGTTTTCCCGGCAACAATTTGAAATTTTCTCGTCGTAAAAACCATCCTTGGATTTTAACGAACATTTAAAAAAAAGAATTGGCCAAATTGGTAGAGGCGTTGTTGAGTGATGCGCTTACCAACAAATTTTGCAATTTATTTTTATATTATAGATAATCTAGAAACTTACATCACCTTTAGAAATGTTGCAAAATTTAAGTAAGGAACAGTTAAATGCTTAAACTGTTACCTGCCAAAGACAAATATTGATTTCTCGGAGTAAAATAGAAGTTCTTTGGTCTTTGCACAGCGTCTTAATCCTATTCGCGCACAAAGCGCTCGTGAAACGCAAACAATTCCGCAGGTAGGTAATTAGCGACATTAACTTTCGACGAACAATACATTTTGCATTTGCCAAGCGTGGATTGCTAGACATCTAAAGTCAATCAAATGTGTTGGAAGGAAAAGATGTGTAAATGGATCTTGGTACATTTTCGCAAAATTTGCGCGAAAAGAAAACTTTTTAATTGGATTAACTTCTTAATTCCGTACACGAATTTATCGCACGTAAACAATTCCGTATTCATCATCATCTCGTTTTATTAAAAGTGGCGAGAGAATTAATTAAAAATTGTCTCGTTTACATCCGATAAATTTAAACATTATAATTTAAAAGTTGTGGTTGTTTGGTTGCCTAATGAAAAACGAAAACTCATTGTTAAGAATTCGGTGGGAAACTAAACGTTGGAAGAATGAAAATTATTTGGAATGTTTGGACTGGTTTGGACAAACAAAATCTTGACCGCAGTTATTACCGCCTCGTCCTAAATTTTCCACCCACGCTCGCAATCTCTCTCGGTTTTGCCGTATCCGCGCGCGGACAATAGACGCGCAAGCATTTGCGATTTTAGCAAATGCGAAATGAAAATGGAAAATGAAAACCGCTGGCTGGTTTGTTCAAACTTTCAAGGGTTGTTGGATGTTGTCCAAATACTCGCCAAATATTATAATTGATGTGACCAGTTGGACACAATCGAAATTTGCAAACAATCAACATTTTTCAATCAAAATTTAAATATGCAAAAGAAAATAATGAAAAAAATTATATTTTATAAACAAATATTTATTTGTGCTAAAAATAAACTTTGAAAATTCATTACTCTAATGACGAACAATTCAGTAATTGAAACAAAATAAATTACTGTGGTTGTATTTGTTTATTGATTATCAGAAAACTTGATTAGAGTTGTTTACGTTGTGAATTCAATTAAAATAGTTAATTAAGCCATAAACAGGAAAACCGGAATTACGCAAATGACTTTACGTACGCACATACATCCAACCAACAAACTTTTGCTAATTCGGCCAACCCTTTGCATGTCATCACATGGCGACACACACGATGTTTACACTCTCGCCGAACTCAAAACAGAAAATAATGAGACAAGTCCGCCAGACAAAACACATTAAAGTTGAAGTTACACCAACGCAGCAGGACGTTTTCGTAAATATTTCATATGTTAATAGCAGCGGGTGTCGTTAGAGGTCGCTGACATTGGATGACAATAAGAAATAGAAACAAACTTATCGCAGGAAAAGCAAATTTACTAAATGAGTCTGAGATAGGAGGGTGGAAGATTGGATGCATCTCTAATAGTGGTAGTGGTAAATGTACTAAATATAGAGAATATACTGAATACTAATATCTTAAAGGATACCCGTAGGGTTATTGTTTGGTGAGGTATAATTCAATTTGAATGGGCCCATTCCTAATTGGACCTCGCGGTGTCTCTACTTGCCTGAATTAATTATAGTCTTTGCTTTGTCCGCCTCGGTCGCTTCAGTCGCGGTTTTGTCCGCGAATTAATTGCAATAATTCGAGTGGAGGTACTCTATTCTGATAAGCAAAGTTTTATGGACTTTACTCGCGTAGTTTTTGTTGATTGTGATTGTGATTGTGATTTTGATTGTGATTGTGATGAAAACGCAGAGAAGGTGCTGTTGTGTGCTTTCTGCAATATTATTTTCCGGCCCTTCACATTGCGCTCGTTGTCTTCATTGTTATTTCGTCGCTCTCTTGAGAGTACCCCTGCGTCGAGTTGTCGACGCTGACGACCGAAAATGGCGCTCGGTTTGGAATGACTCTTGACGCTTGACGTGCGACGCCCAAAACGTTGGAATTGCTTGAAATGCGCAAAAAAGGACAACATTTGCAACGTGACGACAGCAACGCAATACAACTTGACGAATAGAATCATATAAAAGTAAAGATATTTTTCTTTTTGATAATTTTCTTGATTTTTTTACACAAAAAATTACAAACATTCAGAATCTAGAGGGTACGTGTTTAATATCGTAAATTCTGCATCACTTTACTTATTTCATTTCTTGCGTACGCCCTTCCGATTAAATTCAACCCCGGGGCGCATAATCTTATCCCGGCGCCTTCGCAATGAAATAAAATCATACCTTGCCGTTGCATCCCAAGTCATTTATAACCCCCGTGAATATTTTTTTTTGTTTTAACTAATTAATTTGATTAAAATAAACGATTTTACCCTAGATATGTTTCATTATGTCAAGGTTGAAGTTGGACTCATCAACGATATATATTTAATTCATTAATTTGTTTTTATTGGAATTTTATGACTTTGTCCGTGGCGCAGGGGATTTCGTATTATCCTTCAAAGCAAAGTCGCTTGGTCTCGCAAAACCCTAACTGGATTAAATAGTTTCAGTGTTATCCTGGGTTAGCTGCACATTGTTTTCCTGCGGGAAAACTTAATTTATAAAAACATTGCTTTGTGTGCGTTGTATAATCTTAAATTTAATTTTACGATTGTTTATTTTCTACAAAATAAAAGACAAATATAATTTTTATAGAAAAATAAAAATGAAAATCTTAAGCTATCTGAACATGAAAAGAAGACAAACATACGCGTCCTTGACATACACTTGACTATAACGTTCATATTCCACTGAGGTGGAACGCGACGCGAGAATAAAGACGTCGTCGCAGGATAAAGGGTAAACTCGATGTTTCAACGAGCGTTGGATGTTAAATATTTAAAGTACTTTAATGAACTCTCGGTGAAAGAACGACGGTGGAAACAGTAATAAACAACTTAAATCCAAAAAAAAAGCAAACTCTAAAACACTTAGTTTAACTGTATATGCAAATCCAGTGACTGTGTGTGTGGGAAAGTTGTTTTTCAATTATTGAAAACTAGATTTAGTCAGCAAATCCTTGAAACATTGAATCCTTTGAATATCCTTGAACATGCGTGCAATTGTAATCAATGTCGCACTCATTACGACCGCAAAACGGCCAACATTAAAGCCCTCGCCTGCTGCAACAACAGTAAAAGCTCGCTGAGCTTTAATTGTCATATTCATAGGTGCGGGCTTTGAAAACTAGCGTTATTTGCTAGCGCAGGGCACAAATCCTGCCATTTGTATGCCGGTCAGATAGCATCGGCCAGACAAGCTGATAGGCGCAAAAGTGCAAACTGGCTTCGCTTGCAAACACATCACAAGAGTATCACTGGTGTGAGTGTATACTTTAATCCGGACAACGCGCCAACTATTGTAAGCACGTTCGATGTCCATTCATCGTCGAGGCAGACATATTAATGGACTTCAATTATTACCGAGCACCAAAGCTATAGAGTAAAGTCATTAACAAGAAGTCAAGTGTCTGTTGGTTTTTATTTCCAACGATATTATTTTTAAGCGAGTCGGTTTTTTCGTTTTAAAGCAAAGTTTGTGCAATTTATCATAGTGAAGCGTTGTTTTACAACATTCCAAACACTGTAAATCCAAGTTTGATAATGTCTTCTATGTTACGCTATTCTTATAGGTATTTATAGCCTTCGAGCGCTTGGTAAACAACCGGAAAGACGCATTTTTCACATTATCTAACTTTTAAACTGTATTTACATGTTTAAAAATACCTGCTCGACGCCCCTGATATTTCTGCAACTTAATGTGCTGCAAAGTTGTGTGGTAATCGTTTCATCGCGCGCCTATCGTGTGCAAACATTAAGCACTACATGCAACGATATTTTTACATTTTTGTTTATGTGTATAGGTACACTTGAAATTATCGAGAAATCCTCGAGCGGCGAAAACGCACTTAGATTACCTCGATGATAAATCGCCTTCCGTAAAGGTCAAATGTTTGTTGGAGAAAAAAATCAATTGTACTTGTGCATGCATACGACCGTGAGGATATAACTTCCTCGTAAACAATAACGATCAGTACAAACACCTTGACTATGACTGATTGAAAAATAATTGAAATTACATTGCATTATTGCCTAGGCAGTAAATTAAATTCGTTTATTTTTGTTTTGTGTTTTTATTTTGTAAGGTTACTCAGGGTCAGTCTTGGTCTTATTATTTGCTGGCCGAAAATCGAAACCGTTTATTGTCCATCGCGCTACTCAAGTTCTATTCTTGGCTAAACATTGGGCCATATAAATGTATTTCGTGTGAGTGTCCCTAAAAGTAAATGTTGTGCGAGGAAAACTTTGGTTCCGCGTTCGAAATGTCAGCGATTTCGTGTTGCGTTCCATCAATCGAACTATCTACTAAGGGAACTCCGCACAAAGGAAACTTTTCCATGCGGAAGTACTTCAAAAAGGACTTTTGTTCATTGATGCCCTTGCAGTCAATAAAGCAAAGCAGAACATTC